ATTTTACCATTCAGTTGCCTGACCCGCCACACCTTAGTTTGATTTCAAGTCTTCTTAATATATGTGTCTGTGTATGTGTATACGTGTATATTATTTCTTCTTCTTGTTAATCTGCCTAATTATGGTCCCAGGTTTTTAGGTCATCAGACACTAAATGACAAAATAACTCTTTTCTTTGCCTCCGACTTCATCCTCTGTCCCCAGAAGGCCCTCAGGGGCTCCCTCGAGTGGGTGGTACGCCTTCACCTACCTCACAGGAGCCTTCAGTGCTGCATGGACCGTGGGCAGAGCTAAGGCCTCCTGGGCCCGGTGCTACCATGTCCTCCCATACAGAGCAAATCATGGCCAGTGCTCACTGTGCTGGGAGCTCTCCAGCTCCCAGCACAGTGAGCACTGGCCAAGCCTGCTCTGTTATGCTCTTCAGACAGCTGAAGATCCCGGGTTAGATACCAACATCATTTGCAACTCAGACACGGTTATTAAAATGCTAGCCAGTTTTTTCATTGTTTGTGTTTTAACCTATTTAAGTTAGAGAGGGACCAGGAAGGTTTATGTCACCATAAAGTCTTGAAACAGCGCTGTCACTGACTCAAAGAAAGGGTGCCTTGCTTGTGTAAAACCATGCAAAGCAGTTCAGCAATAGCCACCAAGTTCAAATGCACACTGCTTTCAATGTATGATCTGCAACATCTGTAAGAAACTCTTTTTTTAGACAAAAATAGATTAAGTCTAAAATTCAGCAAAGAGAGAGGTCAAACACAGAGAATAAGAGTGTTTCTATGGGTCCTATCTGTGAAACCCTGGACGAGGCCCTTGATGTCTCCATGCCTTCTTTTCCACATGTATAAGATGAACACAGTCGCCCTCTCTCTGCTTAATGATTGAGCTCATATTTGTAGACCACTCAAACTTGCCTCAGAGTGCTGGCTTGAAGCTGTGACAGCACAAGGGCACACATTCAGCCCCAGCCACTAACAATCTGAAAGCTCACCAGCACCCAAGCCTGTCACAGGTTCTTCAGTAAGCTCTTAAAAAAAACAAACTTAATTCTTAAAGAAATTAATTCTGATGGCTTAGAAAACATTCTTACTGTTTTAACAGATTGGCGCTTACCAAAATGGTGGATCTTAAAGATTCACACTGAACTTGTTCAGCCCAGGGGACCAAAGAAAAATGACGTCTCCCCTACAGTCCCTGGCTTCTCCGTCTGCCTGTCTTCGTACAGAGTAGGTGTGACCCCAGCTGCATACAGACAGACAGGCGATTATGAAATGATGGAACCCTCACCACTTGGTACAATCTCAATGGGACCCAATGAAGAGTTAGATGTTCTACAACCTGAGGTCTTCTTCGTAAGAAATCAGAGCCCTGGATGCCCAGGCAGCCCTTCCAAGCACCTATCCCCAAGTGCCAGGGCACAAGTGCAGGCCCTAGGAAAGCTGGTGTGACAGGGCCGCTGCCCCAGATCTGTTCCTCCTCTTTGGGTAACAACCACGCCGAGACAGAAGTCCTTTGGAAGATCATAATTCCCAGTCTCCTTAGGACTGACCCACTGAGAAGATTTTTATAAAGACTGTTTTTTCTTCCTAATTTCAATCAGGGGTTTTAAATCCAAAGCCTGTCAAGCATTAGCTAAGCATCAGCATTAGCAGAAGTGGAGTCTTGCTTCTCCCCAAACTCAGGAAGCGTCACTTCACATCGCATCTCTACAGCAACATCAATTATTAATGTGTGTGTGTTTTGCTGACAGAGGACCTCGCTGGAAACGTAGGTTTCGTTATTCCGTTCTGGGTCGTTAACTGTGGAGCGCTGGCAAATGTAATGGTTTGCTCACATGGGGAGCCTTCATTAAGATGCATTAATCTACAGCCCATGCATTTCAGTACATCGTATGTTATCATGTTCCCCCTCTCCTTTTAATATCCCTAATTTATTTTTAAATGAGTTGCTGTTTATGTGGCCAGTTAACAAATTTGAATTCATGTGACCGGAGTTGCTAAAGAAGAAAAGATGTTTGTGCCCAGAGGACAGGATGCTCGTTAGCATAGGATGTAAATTTATTAGAGCCTCCAAATGCAAAAAACATCAAAAGGAGGGAGTTACAAATGACCTAGATGTATTCTTGCAAGAGAAAATCTATATGGAGGAACACGCATGAACGCTCCCATCTGAAAACAGCACGGAGCGACTCAACATGGAATGGCAGGAGCTTGTAGCTTGCTGCGGCCATCTTCACTGGCATGAGACCTCTACTTTCACATCTGTCCAATGGGAGCCTCTGTGCTCTCATTTCTATCTCCAAAGATGGACAAGAGCACCACTGAGGAGACAGGGTGGAAGGGCTTGTGAGACAGAGCACAACCAAGCTTTGAGATGATTGAATCAGCCTTTAAGATGCTTTAACAGGGGCTGGAGAGATGGCTCAGTACGTCCAAGTGTTCAGTGTGCAAACGTGAGGACTGGGGTTCAGAGCCCCCAGCCTCCCACATAAATACTAGGTGGACACAGCGACCCGCCTGTACGCCCAGCTCTCAGGAGCTGAAGATAGATGTCAGGAGCAGGCTGCCTAGCTGGAATGGCCAAGATCTGTGAGTTCTGGGTTTAGATGAGAGACTCCAGAAAGACACTGAATGTCAGCCTCTGCCCTCCACACACCTAAGCACGAGCACACACACACACACACATACACACACACACACACACACACACAGAGAGAGAGAGAGAGAGAGAGAGAGAGAGAGAGAGAGAGAGAGATTTTGTAATTCTCACTCTGGATCCACCCTTCATGTGTTTTAGCATATTCTTATCTTAAAAATTGTACTCCTTATACTTAATTCTCTTATACTAAATGAGAAAATTGGATCTTTTTAAAAGTTTCTAGTGGGTATGTTTATAAAGTATTACACGTGTAGCTTCCTATTTTATTTCACTTGACTGATTGGTTTTAAGTGGATTCTAAATTCTAACAGATGGAAAGATGAAGCAATCTCTCCCACATGGAGATTCAGAAGTATTTCTTAGAGGTGGGCGGGCAGGCGTGTGCACACACACACACACACACACACACACACGGGAGCTTTTTTGACCCAGTGGCCCTGGTACAGAATTCCTAGAACAGCTGTCTGCCCTTTGATCTGCCTGGTTGTGCTGGGACATCCGCACCAAACCCATTGACACACTAGCTAGTATAATGTCCCCTGGGACTGACCTGAACTCCCCCAAGCAGTTAAGAAGTTACTCAAAGTAATGCAGTAGGCATTGCCGGACAGACAACAGGTGTAAATAGCTACAAGAGAGCAGATGTCAGGAAAAGAACTCGGAAGTAATGCGTTCTCAGTAGTGATAACTTTGGTTCCCAACATAATTGACTTAAATTATTTCATATAATGCTACGTTTAAAAATACCTGTGTTTAACACCAACATGCAAATTTCCCAAAAATGTCCTTTCGTTCTCAAGACCCGTGAAAGGCTGGCTTTGGTACCCAGTCACTCTGCCTTTGACCTGAGAGCCTTAGTAGAACCTCTGGATGCCTCTAGAGGCCAGGCTCTTCCCCTGCATAGGAGTGTTGTCCTCCTGCTCTTGTATTACTGCTCTGGGGGATTATAAACACCAGGCTTGGCTCCTTCCCCACTCCAACCCCCTTTACTCACTCCATCCAAGTCTCCATCATGGTACTTGCCTAAATTGTTGCATAGAGGTATAGGCTAATCTACCTGATTTTGCTCCCTTGGGGCTTCAGAAGAACTGAGTGTTATCCTAAGATCATTTGAGGTCTGACTGTCTACACCCTGTATAGATGCTGAGCATGGCTCAGGGCTGGGGACAGGAAGATGCTCCACACTGACTACTTTCTGCTTTGTTGATTGACAGATCTGGAAGGAGAACATTCTTTAAGATGTGTTGGGATGTATGTCTGAATTAGGCTACACAATGCCTTTCTTTAGAGAGTTGATTGTCAGAGTTGATTTTTAGGTCATTGACTCACAGCCAAACATTGGGCAGAGCACAGGGAGTCTTGTGGAAGAGTTGGAGGAAGACTATCATGACCTGGAGGGAATGGGCATGCCACAAGATGACCAACAGATCCAACTAACCTGGGCCCAGGGGCCTTTGCAGAGACTGGTCCACCCACCAAGGACCATGCATGGACTTGACCTAAGCCCCTACAAATAAATAGCTGATGGGCAGCTTTGTCTTCATGTGGGTCCCCTAGAAAGGGGAGAGGGGCTGTCTCTGACACGGATTCTGTTGCCTGCTTTTCAATCACTTCCCCCTGGTGGGGCTGCCTCTGTAAAGCCTCAGTGAAAGAGGATGCTTTCAGTCCGGATGCAACTTGATATGCTGGTGTGGGTTGGGGTGGTTCTCCCCTTATCTGAGGAGTAGGGGAAGGGGGTTGTCGGGTAGAGAGATGGAGAGTGGGACTGGGAGGAGAGGAGGGAGGGCCTCCGATTAGGATATAAAGGGAATAAATAAAAAATTAATTAAATAAATAAAAATAACCAGAATACAACTCCTTTCAGCAGGCTTTGTGACAAACACATCTCTCCTGCACATTCTCTTTCTTCCCACTGATCAAGAGAATTCAGGAAAGTGTTGGTTTTTGAAGTGTGGGAGAGTTTTTTAGGCTTCCTGAATGTCCTAGTTTTCTGTCACGATAACACAGTGTCTGAGATGAGCAACTTAAAATATAAAAGGTTTGTTTTACCTAAGAGGTTCAGAGTTGTTCATAACCAATGAGTCCTCACTGCTTCAGATCTGAATATGCCTTTTTTGAGCTATCACCCACCTCTGTGTGGACAGTGGTGTGTGTTGTCTCTCTCCCCGTCACAGTGAATGAGTTCTTTGGGTGCTCATACTGGCTCTAATCTTGTGCTCTAGATGCATTTTTTTTATGCATCTGTGGCGAGGCACCCCCAAAGACAACATATTTGATTTACTTCTGTTTTCCCCTAATCCTGTGACTTATAGAATCTCAACTTTTGGGCGGTTTGTTTTCAGAAACCACCCCCTTACTTCAACGACATCAGTGCTGCCATCGTCCAGTCTGAAAAGGTGAAGCACCTGCGCAATGAGGTGCAGCAAAAGCATGAAGAGAACTACAAGAAAGCCTTAGTAAGCATCAAGGAGGAACTGAAGGCGATGGAAGGCTTGGGAATCAAGGAGCACCTTCAAGACCAGATCCGGCAGTGGTTCATTGAATGCAGGTGAGCACTGTCCTCTGGGGGGGCTCAGCTCATTCGGCGCCTTTGTTGTTGTTTGCTTGCTTTGTTTTGTTTTTGAGACAAGGTCTCATTGTTTGAACTTAAAGAGAGCCCCTTGCTTCCACTCTGGAGTCCTGGGATTATAAACATGAGCCTGGCTTGTGTTCTTAAACACTAAGGCATCCAGCAAGGAGACGTGAGGTTTCTTGACTTCATTTTTAAAAAGCCAGATATCCAACACTAATGATTCAGAAGCTGTTTTAATTAAATTGCTTCTTGGCCTCTGTGTGTTTTGTAAATATGGTAATATGGCCCATGCATTGCCCTGTGACCACATGCAATAGAATGTGACAGGTAGGGAACTGAACGGCCAAGTGAGTCTAAAGCCCCAAGAACTGGAAATAACCAGGTCTGACTGCCTTTCCCTTGAGAACCAGCAACCCACTGCTTCAGGCTCTCAGTCCCTGGCCCTCCACAGTACCACATTCTGGGACCTAGGACTCCCTAAAGTGATGGGTCACTAGGGGTTCTCAGGCCAAGGCCCCAGGCCTATTCTTATATTAGACTTCTTATTGCTTTTAAATGAAATACTAAATGGTCTAAGGCTTGTTTGCTGGAGCAGTCTTACAGTGTGTTTTATCTCAAGGGGGAAGAAATAAGGGTGCTCCGTCATAGTCAGGTGCTGAGGAAGGAGATTCAGACATCTCGTCCCATGCCAGGTTTTGTATCACCCCAACATTAGGTTCTGAGACACTCAAAACACCCACACGTCAGCTCACTGGGACATGAGAACTGAATAGTCAGACATAGAAAAATCAGATTTCTTCTTTAAATAAAATCACACCAGAAAGAGAGAGTGTGTATGTGTGTGTCAGGCTGTAGAGGCCAGCAGAGCAAGGGACGTAGACAGGCTCCTAGGTGACAACTGGCAGGAGGGACGGGGCTTGTTCCAGTAGCTGGACAGCCAAGCCCTGTCCACAACCGTTCTCCACCTCCCTGTGCTGACCTCATATGAAAATCAAATACTCGCTCCCTGAATGATAGTCAAACTTTATCCCAAAACTTCATTGTGGGTGTTAGGCATGGCACACACATGTTTCAGATGAGAGAATTCTATTCTGTTCTTTCTGATAAATGACATTTCCACACACTTAATGATTTTTCTCAAGTTCAACATTGACTCTGTGAACTTTCTTTTTCCTTGGAGGGGCATTTAAATGAGAATCTTAATGGAGAATTCTGAACTCATCCTAGGAGACAGGTGGGCTCTTCCTGGGGGAAGAGTATATAGACAGGCACACACCCCTCTTTTCTTCCTGACACTCTCCCTAGCTTCTCTACTGGTGACGGTTGCACAAATGTGCACATTTGTCAAAACTTATCAAATTCCACTCTTGAAATCTGAACGGTTTATCACCTGTCAGTTATACCTCAAGTCAAGCTGTTAGAATGCCACAGACGGGTAGTGCATCAGCAATATGGCAGCACGTTAGTTCTGAAAAATCACATATTTTGCTATTTCTCGTAATACCAAAACCCAGTCTTCTAGCCTTGTTCTCAAACCAACCTGCTCATAGCATAAGGGAAAGTTGCACTTGTCAGTTCTGATTTAAAATAGTCGTTAATTGGGTTAACTGTCTTTTCTACATAGATATGTGACCAGTTCAGATGTCCCTTCGCAAGACTCTTGCATGATTTCTCTCCTTATGGATCCTGCCTACATAGAAGGCCCAAGCTTTAACCACCCAGAGCTATGCCTGGGTGAAGAGTGACCAGACTGTGGGCATACACAGACACCTGTTAATTAGCACCTTAATAGTGGGTCATGTGGAGAGAAATTACGTGTTTCATGAATGCACAGTTACATATCTATCACGGGGGTACACACAACACACACACACACATACACATCTGGATACCCAAGCCTCCTGGAGGCTTCTAGATAGTGTGTGTGTGTGTGTGTGTGTGTGTGTGTGTGTGTGTGTGTGTGTTGTGTATAGCACATGCGTGGGCTAGCACAGCACAGTGTCTTATCACACTACTCCAAATGGTACACTGTATAAAAAGCAGGGGCTGTTTATTCTGGAATTTATTCTGGAATTCTGCACTTAGTGTTTTCAGATCATAGTTGACAGCAGGTCACGGAACCCAGAACCACAGAGGGCAGAGGTACAGACAAGGGACCTGCTGTGCTCACAGCACATGGAACACCCTAAGCTTTTTGGGCACACGTGGAAAGGCTTTCAGAAGGGCGCAGCAGAAACGGAAGGTTGCCTCCAGCTGGGCTCCAGGGAGAGGGATTGCTGTAGAATCGATCTTCTGTGAGAATTCTTTTGTTTCAGTAAGTATAGTGTTTATGATTTAAAAAACAGTTAAAAATACGTGAGAGGTGGGGAAAGGCAATCTGCTCGCAAAGATTTAAAATATTGAAGGTACTCAAGTTTTAGGAAAGTAGTTCAATGAGGTGTCTTCCTCACATGCTTGACTCTCGTTCCCGATGCAGAACTGGGTAGCATGGCAACTGTGGGAGTTGTTTTCCCTACCTGAGTTGTGGGAGGCCCTGGCTGTCACTCTGGAAATGACCAGTTATTCCAGCATTTATGAGTTTTGAAACTGCAGCTGGTGGGTCCTCCAAGGACACTTCCTCCCTGTGTCCACGACCCCAGCGTTTGGGGGCTGGTCAGAGGCCCCCCTCATGGGTATACTGGGCAGAATTCACAAAGGCATAAAAATTCCTCTTTTTGAAGTAATGTAAGGTCGAGGGTAAATTTATTTTCATAATTGCATTAAAGTCGTCTGATGGACTTTGATAAAGAGCCTGTTCCTTGCTGTTTTAAATCAAAGGCAAATAAAAGCAAATATTGTCTTTTGAAGTATGAAACACACTCAGTTCTCAGAATAAATCCCAAAAAGATGCACAGGGGCTGGTCAGGCGATTGTAAGAAGCCTTCAGACGCTCACTCACAGCTCATCTGGTCAGTATGTATAAGCTGGCCTAGGGCTCCAACTCACCACGCTGCCGAGGGCAACACTGCCCTCCCAAGGGCTGGGTCACAGATGTGTGACACCGTGCTTTGATTATTTGCTTTTTAAACTACACTAGATAATTAAAAAATATATATATATATATATATCTGGCAGTTTCATACATGGATATAATGATCTCTAGTTGTTTTCAGTCTTATTCTATCCCTACACCCCCCACCACTGAAAAGTTAAACTTCAAAATCACAGCTATTCATTCAAGGTAGAGTTTAATGAAGGGAAGCTGGCCTGTGTATAGTTTTAGCATACAGAGACAGCTACTGTGAACATTTTTGGTGAAGTTCCTTCCTGTCTCTTTTCTGTCCAATTAATTAGTTTTAGTTATTCATATTTTTGCTAATGTTTAAAGCTTCAGCCTTGAACTTTCCCACGGCCTTGTAATTCTTTCCAAAATATTTTTTAAATGAATGCTTGGCATTCAATTGCATGGGTGCACTAGTTAACTCATCGATTGTAATCTTTTTAATATTTTGCAGAGCTGATTAAAAAAAAAAGGTTATCAGGTGATCTTGGAATCTGTATTAATTTAATTATTTAGCGGTTGGGGAACAATTGCACTTTTGTTTTTGCTTTGAGACATGCTCTAACTATGCAGCCCAGGATAGCCTTGAATTCAGTGTATTCCTATCTCAGCCTGCTGAGTGCTTGGATTACGAGTGCGCGTCCCCAACTTATTTGAGTTGTCTGTTGTTCTTCATCTCTGAGCTGTTTTGTCATTTTATTTGCTTTTCTGTGTTATAATGTTGGGTGTTTTATTTTCAATGTGATTTTAGATAGATAGATAGATAGATAGATAGATAGATAGATAGATAGATAG